TGAAAGGAGAGAATGAAGCCACACACAATTCCCTTGGCCTTGACATAAGGTGCAGCGATAAATATACAAGACTAATGAGCAATTACCATACAATCAGCCCTCAAATGGCTGACATCATAATAAATTAAACATCCCAGCCAAGGGTTTGGTTTCTCTCTTTATTATTAATAACCAAGGAGGGGCGTTTGTGGCCAAGATGAGCTCTGATGAGTATGGTATTTTTTCTTTCTTCCAAAAATACAACAGCATTTTCCAATTTGGTTTGGAGTGCAGTCGGCTGCCTGCACGCACGCAGTTGCGCATTAATGCGCATGCGCAGACAGACCGACTGTCTTAGACTTTTTAGACTTCGATTTTTTTTGGTAATTTAGGGGATCGTTATGACATGCACGAATTTCCACTTTATGGACAAAGTTATAATTACTTATAAAATGTAATACTCTTATTTTCGCAGTGCTTTTGGGAAAATGAAATTTTAAATCGTATTGTTTTTCCTTTTCAAAAATTTGATTTTGATTTTTTTTTGTAGCCTGTGGGTCCCAGTGGCGGCCCTAGACTATTTTCCACCCTGGGCCAATAATTATCCCCCTTAAGCCCCCCTGTATTCCATGGAAAGGTTTTATTTCACATGGACTAACTAAGTTTACTCTGTAGCACAATCATATACACTACAGGAAAAAAACAAGACAAAACAAAACCTGCACAGTAGAAAAGTATTTCGTGTTTGTGCCTAACAAAAGGAAAATCGCTTGTCCTAGCCCTCGACGCTAACTCAGTATTAATCTGGGTTTTCGCCTGGTTTCCTCCAATGTTTTAAAAACAAAATCTACTAGAACCAGGTCTTGCTCAAAATATGATTTTTGGTACTGCAAAGTAAAATACAGAAGTGTAACTTTCTTGGCTAAAAAAAAATCGTACAAACTTATTAAAAATGACCAAAGATGTCTGTATTTGCCCTAAATATCAGTAAAAGTACATAAACACACACACATGCACAGGCCCTCGATGCATCCGTCTACACTCACGTCAAAAATCATAACTAAATTGTTTCCGACAGTCTATATATTCCAATCAAAATAATGTCATAAATACACTAGAATGATGTTGCCATTAAAAATGGTGGTAATAAGAATAAAAACACATGTGGCTGCAATTATTAATTTTACTGTTTTACTCAGACAGCTAAGTGTTCCAGTTTCCTTTCTCTTACAACAGATGAATGTAGAAACACACACTCTCTCTCTCTCTCTCTCTCTCACACTCACACACACACACACACACACACACTTGTAGCCTGGCACTGACATGTGTGATTGATAATAGATGAACAAAGCTGAGAGCCACATTACAAGCTGCTCTCACACACTCATGCAGGGTTTCAGCCAACACTCCATTCCCTGTGTTCACCAAGGTCAACACACACACAGTGTAACGTCCCAGCCAGCGTGTCATGTGGGCCTCACATCAGTTCACTTGGCCGATACATAGTTGAAAAAGTGGGCAAATAAAAATCTGGCAAAGAAGTTGCAAATATTTCATAGTGCGATCCAGTCGAAGAAGGATCTTGAATCAGACTACAACCACTGTGATTTGACTGCTGTCTGCGGCAAAAATACTTTAAAAATTAAAATTTTGTAAATTAAATAATTTTCAAAAATTAAATAAAAAATTAGAGTGGGCGAGAGAGAATTAAAATTATTAAAATTAAAATTATTAAAATTTAATAATTTTCAAATAGCCAAACAATTTAAAAAACAAACAAAGCTGAGATCAGAATTACTGGAAATTTTACAGGGGTGTAATATAACTAAACGGGCTGAGGGCCACTGCTGCTACTGTCTTTGACTGGAAAAACATAAATGTTTGACGCCTATTACAAAAAACATATTTTAGAAAAAGTAGTTTGTTTAATAAATACTGTATAATGCTTTAGTGCAAACAGCTAACACACACATAGCACACGTTTTACTGATAAACAAAAGTTGGATAATAACATATCTTAACGTTATCTTTGCTAATAGTTTTAAATAATAATAAAATAAATAATTAAGTAATTACCAGGGGTTATCCAGAACTATAATAAGGTGATAGCAAAGGTTACTAAAAGTTTTCCAAAGATAAGCTAATAGCTAAAGCAGTGACAGCTTAAAATGAATGAGAACAGTGGGTTAGAGTAA